GTATATTTCTTAATTTTAGGAAAACTTCAATCGAAAGGGCTGATGATAAAAATGTTTCCTCACTGGAAGTCTTATTTTCACACTTATATATTTCAAGAGAAAACTGTTTGGCTCGAGTTGCCTTATTCCGGAAAAGATGCGAGTTCTATAATTAGTAATGTGAATACGTATTCATAATGCATGTGTGTATATCTATTTATACACTACAAGATGTTTCAAATCGACTGCACGAAGAGATATCCCTTGAAAGATTGTTCATAGACGCACAGATGCAATTAAATAAAATCTGATGTGGATACCACATAACTTCCTCGTACGGCCTGTTAAACTAGACACATTTTTTAAAGCGCTTCATTTAAACTTATTTCCTCGAATTATTCTAATATAATCAACCGATCTCTCTCTAGGCAAGTTGAAAATGACATCAAAAATTGCAAATTTTTAAATGAAGTAGCTCGATCAATTTTTGTCGTACGGAGAGTCAAACTTCTTATAATTTTATTTTTCCAAATATAAGTATAGGAAAAGAGAGATTAAATTAAAACTTATATTTCGTTACTTGTCGAAAATTAATTTTTTTTAATTTGATATTGTCAAAACATGAATATTTTCGTTATTTAAAACACTTCCGTAATTGGAATTAAATGCTACGATCAACCATTAGGAAAATAAAGGCCGGGTAAAGGTTTTTAAGCTAGGTAGAGAAGTGGGTATAGATGTGTGGTGTGTGTATATGTTACCGTGAAAGACCGAAATTTTAGAATGTCGACTTTCACCAGAGAATATCAACATTCACCAAATACGTCGGTGCAAGACCGAATATTTCACTACATTCTTGTATATTCGGACTCTCACCGGTGTATGTCGACAATCACAGATATGCTCTGGTGAAAGTCGAAAAGAGAGGTCATAAAGTGCCACATTAGTTTAAGTTGTTGCAATAAATAAGATTTGAATCACATAATTTAGTAATTTTTTTATTACTGTTATTTTATTTTCTCATTTAGAACGTACTGTATAATTAAGTAAGTTTTTAATTTCTATTATTTTCCTTTCTCAGTTTGAATGTATTGTGTGTTTTAGGTTCTCATGCTTTTAAGTTCTTATTTCAAGTCTCAAGTGCGTTTATTCGCGACTGAATTACGGAGAAGAAAATATAATATTGTTATATGATCAACATTCACCATTAGTACATGGTGAATGTCGACATTGACCGGTGTAAGTCAGAAATAAGAGTATTTGGAAAATATTTCGGACATACACCAAGAGACTATGTGAATGTTGACATTCACCGGTGAAAGTCGACATTCTCCAGATTTCGGTGTTTCACCGTAACATATGTTATATTACATACGTTTGTTTCTGGCGATTTCAATAAAAAAGGGAGGTGCTCAACTAGATGTTATAGCAGTCCCATACAAAAAAATCTTAGCGTTTATGACTAATCGTTTTTGAGACATGCGAGATAGATACATACATACATAACATACGCGTACGTATAGATGTTACGAAAATATACTTTTTTAATCCATTTTGGAAAAAAAGTCTTTTATTCTGTTAGTATATACGTCAAGCAAAAAAAAAAAAAAAAAAAATCATCCAATTGGAATCAGGAACTGTCAAAATGAATATTTCTGTTGAAATATGATAGCCGAAAGTTTTTGCCGTTACAATATTTCCTTTACTTGTAGAAGGAAGTAATAAATAAATGTGACATGATCTGAAAAATATGGTAGTTTTGGTCACATGATTTCTTTTAGTAAACATACACGAAACTTAAATTTTTACATGAACTCTATAACAAATATTTTAAATATTTTAACTTAGTTGAAGGAAACAGAATCCATTTTCGTATGATTAAAATTACCGGATATATGATCAATAAAGTTTCTGCAAACCGATAAAATTTTGCTTAAAGATAATTTTAAATGTTATTTTTTTTCAAATGCAGATTTTTAACCGATATCTTTTACGTAAAGTAAAACATTAAAATTAGCTTCAAATTATCGTCATAGCCCAAGTAGTGGCAGGAGGGGTTAAAGACCGCTTAATCTGGTAGTTCGTCCCGGATTCGAACCCTGATAAACGGCATAGTCGTATGATTAAATTTCGTGCTTTTTCCCCATATGTAACATGAATACAAGCCAGTTTCTGTTTTAAAGTTTGGTATTATCCCGTCAGTCGTGAAAATTGGCTTTTATCGAACTGTTAAAACTGTTGAAGAGCCTGCCAAAGTAGCGCCAGTCGTTCTTGCGGAATTCAGAAGGACCTAACGCCTGTTTATTTAATAAACAATCATTATTAGACAGGCTTCGTAAAAAGGCTTCTGCTTATTTCTGCTATTTTGTTAGGCTCTCGGATCTTATCTGAAGCTCTGTTTAGAACTCTACGAGTACTAACTTCCCGGAAGTAATTTTGTTGTACCGCAAGTAACGTTGTTTTGTCGACCATATTCAACTAACTATATCGTATTCATTAATGTTACATTTTTTATGGTAGTGTTCCGTAACTTTGAAAATAATCCCCTGTTTGTTGCTCCGTAGAAGAGAGATCTTATTCTTTTTTTTTTTTTTTTTTCAAACTGTAAGAAAAAATACAGCAATAACAAACAGTTAATTTATATACTTGTTTATAAAAGCAAAATGTTACGTATCGAGATTCAGTCGGGGTTACATCAAACGAAAGCGCAGATTTTATGTGGGTGTTCTTACATCACCCTTATCCATGATTGGCGCTAAATCATGATGCTTGATGACAGCTTCACGATCGACGGGATAATACCCAAAAATTTTTTCCGAAAGTCCTCTACGAAGACAACTCAGGTAGATAGCTGTCATATGCTTTCCATATTCAAGTAAACCTAACAGTTTGTAAAAATGCTGAAATTTGGAAGCTTGTATTTAATGAAATTTGATTTTGTACGACCTCTTTATCACGCTTCTTACTTTTCGTTCGAATCCCGGAGAAGGTAAAGATGTTTGTAAATGTATAGTGTCCGCGCGGTATGGGGGCACTCTAAATATGCGGCCAGCAGAAAGTACTCTCGAGAGGTTGCTGATAGGGAAAGAGGGTTAGAAGACCCTCGGACCCGTCCCTCGGGGTGCTCTCTATCAAAATCGGGGACGGAACTAAGCTAAATCGCACTCTCATTTGTTACGATGCCAAAGACAGGCGTATCTTGCGCTCCTTGCTAATAGGAATTTCGTGAACTTGGGCTGACTATAGGTCAGACAAGTGAGCATTAGTAACAGCAACAACGTTTCTTGGTTTGTAAGTAAAGATGATTTGAGTGATATAATTCTGATAATTCTTTTCAGCATCGAAGTCTGTGGGTATAGACGTTTACCTCTCACCCTTCCCCAAAATTTTTAATAAGGTAAAGAACTATTTACTAATTAGAAGACATTTTTATAGAAGGCTCATTCTAAATTTAACTTTAGTATGTACAACAAGTTCTTAAAGTACGAAATTGTAACGGCATGCCCACACGCGCATATATTAGGTTATTTTTATTATTTCAAGAACACACTTTTTAATTCTTCTCTACCATTACATTCAGTGTTTGACGATTAATGAAATAGTGATGCATTTGCTTTTCATACCTTCTGAATTGCTACCAACGTAAAAGGACAATTTTATACTAAGTTCCGAGAAACGCAATTGAAATTAGAGAGAGGAAATAAAAATTTGGCATAACAAAATTAGTTTAATATATACAAAAGTCAGATAGTGTTGAATTGTTTTTTAGCAAATTTGCCTTCCCGTTTAAAATGAGTGTTATAACGCCCCATTTTAGTTATTGTACCGCACTGTCACGGAACCTTGCCACCTGGCCCTTGAACCAACCAACCCGTCACATAATTTTCTGGAAATAATCGGTTGCCACGGACATTATTCCGCCATTTTTCTCATCCTGAGCATTTATTCGCACTTCTTGAAGATTCTGGTACCTTTTGCGCACAGCAATTATCACTCACCCTGTTTTTCAATAGATATTACGCAATCTTTTGTCTGCATTTCAAGTTGAAGATATCTAACAACAGAGAATTTTTACATGCAATTACTCAAACGAAAACGAATGCCACTAGGACATACGACACAACACAGCGTGTCTCTGACTTTTGTATGCATAAAAATATTTTTTATTGCGATTTTTATTTTCAAACTCTTCGAAACTTAATTACGAAATATTGGCTTAATTAAGAATGGCGACAGGGAAACATAAAATGATTCCTGCACTAAATATTTTTTTTCAACGTATGGATTGTGTTGCAATATTTTATTATATATTATATTAGATAAAATCCAATTATTTAATGGAGATAACCGTTTAATTAAGTGTATTAATGTAGTGCAAATCACAAAGAGTAAAAGCGGGGTTACATTTATCCTCTGATAATATTTGGAGGCAGATTTTAATTATATTACAACATCACACATCTAATAAATCACATCGTTATCTATGGCATTAGAATAAATAAAAATAAAACTTCATACCTAGCACATCTTAGTTAATCAAATAATAGTAGATGATATAGATGCATATCAGTTTTAACAGTAATTGCTAAAAATTTTAACTCTAATATCAGCAAAATTCTCGACTTGTATTTCGACATTAAAATCACAAAAATAATTTTTAATAACTAAATAAATACCTAATTAAAAAATTATTTCAATGTTTCATCATTGGCTTAATACATTTTAAAATACTCAGATTATTCATTTGCAAAAACAATTATTACAATATTCTCAAAAATATATTTTAATAAAAAGTTTAGCATTTAAATCATCGCTACAATTTAAATCCGTTTTTTTCATCACTGCCATTTTTGAACACATAAATTTTTCAGTTTCAGTCAAGGATCGCGTGAACTTCGCCATACTACTAAAACTGCGTAGATCATTACTAACAATTTCTAAACCCGTACGTTTATTCAAATGATATATTTAACACTAAGGGTGAAAGACATTCTACTAATTGAAAAGGGTAAAATATCTACCTGTTCGTTGTCTTCGACTCATATCAATAAGAAGGAGTAGAATGAAATGTGTCTTTTGCAGAAGCGCGAGATGATTTGAGAGCACGTGGACTAGGGTTATAAGAAAAGGTTTCGCCAACAAGCTCAAGTCGTCTATCTTCCTAAGTCTGAGAAATCCGCCAAATCTCTTTTTGTTGTCAATATACCGTTAGACAGTACTAGTGGTAATAAATGCAAGACAAAGTGCCTAGGTAAGCAGAAATAACTGATTTAGCGTTAAATATTCCTAATTAAGTTGCAAAACTTTTTATACGTGTATTTTCAGAAGTATGAGCTTTTTCTCTCTTCTGAAATACAGGCTTGTAAACAAACCACGTGGTTAATATTTTGCAAACAATTTCCCAAGGAACTCCCTTTTAGCTGCTCGTTCTATTATGTATTGGTTAAAATGTATTCGATTGAAACGATTTAGTAATTACAAATAACCTTTTTTGATTAACAGTTCTGTTTCATTAATTTAATTCAAAATTTTTATTTTATGTTGACACAGTGCTTAGATAAATTTTTGTGTAAGCAGTTAATACTGAAGAAGCACGTCTTATGCTTAGGATTTGTATTCCATAGCGTCAGCATATTTTTAAGTATACTAATATAAAATTTATTAAAAATTTCTCATTTAGGTAATGTTTCTTACCATTTGAGTTGATTGATTAATTTTGAAAAACCTAAAAATTTATAAAATTTTATGGTATTAATATATTGATATGCAGAATTTAATATAATCATCATAAAATATTCAATGTTTTAACTTAATGAACTTTTTAATGAACTTAAAATTCTGAACAGTCAGAAATTCATTTCAAGCGTAATATTTCAAATGTCACGTTATACGCGAAGCTACGGAAACGTCTATACAGTCAACGTATTCACCGGGATTTAATTTCGTTTGGCTTATTTAATTATGCCAAAGCACGCAAGGGTTATCTGTCTAGGGGGGGGGCGGAATGCCTTCGTGGAGGACTTCCTAATGGAATCTGGCTCGTATACACGTTACGAATGCGGGTGAACCACGAAAACACTCATGTAGCTAGCCCATTTGCCGGAAATCAAACCCAGGTTGAAACTACCAGTGTTCAGCGACTTCACCACTCGGCCGATGCTGGGCACCGGGCTTTACAGCCAGGTCGAAACCAGCGGTTTTTCTGTTCGGTCGTAAAAAGACGGAGCTACTACGTTAAAAACAAACGGGAGTTAAAAAGAGGAAGTTAAGGCAAGTTAAAAAAGTTAAAAAAAGACGGGAATGCTACGTCTGAAAAAGGGTTCCAGGTATATGTGCATAAGGCTAGATACCTTCGCGAATTGCCTATTGAGGGGAATCTTTGAAACGCTTAACAAACACGAATTTGTCAATAGCTGTATATGCTAAGGCTATTAAACCGTGGTTTATAGAAATGCTTACAATATATCTGAAAACCCCAAAGGAAGAATCAGAATGAATCAACCATCTGATGAAAATTTTCGATTAATTTTTCAGACTTAATTAAATTATAATATATGACTGAGAGATTCATAAGCTTAAAAATTTATGCTTTATAAGATTTGCTTTTCTAAACACATGTTTAATGCACCTTTATTGCGAATTTTTAAAGCTAGCCGTGTTTGATCAGGTTATAATAACATGTCATACTTAGAAGAAAGCTGTAAGTTCGGCAAAAATTCACAACAAAAATGCGATCTCTAAAGATGCGAAGTGCGAATTTAATTATTAGAAGAAAGTGTCGCTATTGTTAGAAGAACAATCTTTAAAATCTTGTTTACTTTCAGGTTTGCTTAATTTAGCTTGCCTTTTTAGTCAGTTTTTAATTAAGGTAATATTTTTCAAAATTTTAATGCAGGCTATATATTTGGGGATAAAATACAGTTTATTCATTTTAAAACGGTCTTTTTGTTCAAAGATGTCTACCTTTGTATAAGTAATTGATTGTAGCAAAGCAGATCTGGATGAAGCTAATTGAGTAGATCATTGTTTTAGGTCATTTGTTCTTAGTCGTTTGGGTCAGCGTTTTACGAAAATAAGTTTGTTGTAGTTATGAGTAGATGGCGAAAGGAAAGTTAACAGTTTCTTATAATAAAAAAATTAATTACGGCTGCCGTATTTTTGGACCCGTGTTCAAGTCACTGAAAAAAGGCATAGATTTTTGTAAATGTTTAGAAACTTTGTGGCATGGAGCCGCTTAAAATACCACTGAGAAGTTCCCTGGAGATACCAATGTTAGAGAAAGTATAGGTAGAAGACCCTTAGATCCGTCCCACTGGATACTCGCCATCAAAAGCGTTATGGAGCTGAGAAAACTCATGTTTATCTTATTAAGTGCCCAAAGCTTTGGCTAACAAAAAGCGTTCTCTTCTTTTTTGGCCATGATAAATTCATCGACTTGATGAGCAGCTTCGGATGGGAGGATTAGTAATAACAACAAAAATAGGATAATCAAATGGATTTTTATGCCATAAATGATTGATCTTTATTTACATACGTGGTTTGGTTTATTCGATTATGACAAAGTATGCGAGGGCTACTGCCTAAGGAATGGGATGATTTCGAGCAGGACTTTTAAAGGAAACTGGCTCGTATCCGCGTCGCACATGGGGAAAACCACAGAAACGTCCAAACAGCCAGCCCGTTCGCCTAGAACTAAACCAAGTCGATCTACCACTATTCGCGCTTTTACTGTAGCCATACGACGTCATAAAGATGATTTATTCCACAGCCGTCCTGAATGCTGCATAACATTGACAACAAGCGGCACCGTTTACAATGGCGTAGAGAACACATAGACTGGACACCTCATCAATGGAATTACGTTCTTTTTACCGACGAGAGTCGTTTTAGTGTGATAAATGATTCTTGTCGCAAGTAGATATGGAGAGAAGTAGAGTCACGTTTTCATCCCAGTAAAATCAGGTAAAGAGAGCAGTGGGATGTCCTGGCGTTATTGTATGGGGAGGCATTTTGCTGAATGGACGGACGAAACTCCACATTTTGAGTGAAGTTCACTTAACGGCGATCGTTACTGCTATGAAATTGTCCTCCACCACATGCTTCTTTTCCTGAATGCCATTGGCCCCGACTTTCCTTTTATGGACGACAGTGCACAGCTACACAGAATACATGCTGTTGAAGAGTTCCTGGAAATAGAAGATGTTCGCAGAATGGATTGGATAGGGTGCTTCCTTGATTTAAATCCCATTGAACGTGTATGTATACTTTAGTGGGATGCTTGGCGTCATCTTAGCCTCCGGAGAACACCAGAGAACTGAAACAGATACTTCTTGAAGAATTAGAACTCTTAGACAATTTGGATGAAGTATTATATGGGTTCTTATTCATTTTGGTTTTGCTACTGTACTTTGCTTATCTTTTATGTACTACACAGTGTCTCTGTAGTATAAATTTCATGTAACTCAGTTCACTTTTACTGAATTACGGCCCAAAAAGGTTCTCGCATAATAATTCATATATACATAGTTACATTGTTTAGTTAAATAATACCAGGCAGGCGAGGGGTGCTTAAGAGGAGAACCTTCCACGTGAGATACTTCCTAAAGAAAACTTGTTCGTATTCATACTATTCATATGGAAAATCCCGAAACAGCCGATACAACCAGCCCGCTCGCTAAGATTGCTTTATATATGCATAAAGAAAAGGTAAAGAGAAAGGTACTAAAGAATTTTCTAATATTTTATTTGTTAGTTCCCTTCTGAAATTGAATTAAATAGCAGAAGAATTAAATATCTTAATTTTTTCCCGAAGAATTTTAACTATACCCAACAAAAAATTTATTATACTGTATTACAGGGTTCAATAAAGCAAATATAGTGTTCTCTTATTAAACTTCATTACGCATTACATAGTTTCATTTTCAAGTCACAGTATTTTTTGTTGATTAAGCTGTAAATTTGATTCTAAGTTACTAACGGGTTTTAAATTGAACCTATCCTCCTCTATCTGATTTCACAAGCACAGCACAACCTACGGAAGAGTATATGTAATTGTTAGACAGAAGTTAGCAACTATTAATCAAAATGACTTAATAAATGTATATGAAATTAACTTAGCATTGTCTCTCTTGCTCCCATCAGTCTAGCTATCGTCAGTGGATGGTTCGTCTCCTGCTTTATCACTGAAAGGAAGATGCTCGCATTTCTCCTTTTCCCCCCAAAAAATTTAGTTGTTCATTTTCAACAACCAGTCAGCTATCAGCATCGAATCACCCATCATTTGTAATAGAAAACTAGTATTATTTTTACATTGTAACTAGAGATGGACAAAAACCTCTCTTTCCTGAGATCGGATCGGAAGCGTTCGATCACTGAAATGAATCGGTTCTTTTTTCCCGACTCACAGCTCACTGACAATAACCTTTATGAAAAAGATCCGGGACAACGGGTGACTCAAAAGCGATTAGCAAGAATGCAGAGAGGACCGGAAAGAATCGAACAAGCTGTGGAATCGGGACCTGTTAGCAAGGTTGGATGGAAGAGCCGTGGGATCGGAAAATTCGACTCAGTCAAACGCTAACTTTGTGAACTGAGTTAAACTGAGAACACTTTCAACTGCAGTAGTATTGAGTTTAACTAAAGCCTCCTTACTACACAGAACTAAATATAAGATTCTAGAATAAACTTGGGAAATGATAAAATTTAAAAGCGCTTTTAACATGGAAGGATAAACATTCTTTTGTCCTCTAAAATGGGCTGTTGAGATGTTCTAATTTCCTTCCGCTCTTTTTTTTCCAATCAGGCATTCGCTCACTCAGTAAAGTTAATCAGTTTTAGAAATAATAACAGATTTCTATTCTTGGCACGCTTCAAACAAGAACTGCCCTTGAACTGTAAAAGAGCTATTACTATGTTTTCTGGAGTAAATTCATTTATTGAACTGAATCGGTTCTTTGAATACGTTCTGCCCGCTCGTCCAGCTCTAATCGTAACACTTAATCCGAAGTGTTTTTAAATGTGTGATACCATTTTTGCTGATGGTCTTACATGAGGAAATGGTAGTGGGGATGAATTCCAGCTCATTTAATTTTGTGAGTCATTTAAGTGGTATATGCAGTTTTAAGTTTGAACTTTGATTGTACGAGAATCTTAATAATTGAAA